GGGGGGGGGGGTCTATCAACTAGAGATGAAGCCAAGCAGTGTGGATGGATGTCTTAAACTACCTGGGGTGTCTCTACCAGGTTCTTACAGGGGAGAAGCAGCTTCAGAGACCCTGCATACAAGTCATGAGAGGCTGAAGAGTGTAAACCCACCCTTTTATTAAGGATATGAAAAAGATGGATGTACAGAAAGAACAATTGTGTCGTTCAAGTAGCACAGCTATTCAGTAACAGCACAGAGGAGGAGTCTCTGGTCCCTGTTGCTCCACTGCACAATAGCCTGTTTGTTCCCTGTGTCTGTATTTTCATTTTCATCTTGATGATCTAACACGTGAACCAAAAGGAAAGTGCTGTGCATCATTACACGGACTTTCCTTAATTTTTTTTATCTAAGACTGCTCCTACAAAACATGTCACAAATAAGTGTTAAAATAATTCTAAAGTTTTTTAAAAATTTGATTCCTTCTGTAAAAAAGAAGGATCTATTACCCTTTGAGACAACATGGAGGGACCTGAAGATTATAATGCTAAGTGAAATGAGCCAGTCAGAGAAAGACACAGGATCTCACTTATATGTGGAGTCTAGTGAACAAAATAAATTGACAAACAAAATAGATCCAGAGGCGTGGGAGCATGGAACAGACTGATGAATCTCGGGGGGAAAGTGGGGGGCAAGGGGAGGGAGATTAACCAAAGAATTTATATGGTATTTGCAAAACCCATGGACACAGACAATAGTGCAGTGAAGGCCTGGGGTGTGGTGGGAATGGGGGCAGTGAGGTGGAGAGGGGCAAAGGGGGAAAACGGGAGACATCTGTAACACTTTCAACAATAAAGATAAATTTAAAAAGAGAGAGCGAGCTCAAGAACTAATGACTCTTAAAGAGCTGGTGTGCCTCTCACTTGCCTTGGAACCTGAAGTAATGTTGATGTCCTTGTGCAAGCTGATATGTTAAAGCACGTGGCTGACTGCCATGGAGATTTAAAGAGAGAGGTTGAGAGGGGAGACAGAGAGAGAGAATAAAAGAATAAATATATATATTTATTTACTTACTCTATAGTTTTCTTCTGAAAAGAGAATTTGAATGAATGTCTTCAAACCTTTCATGTTTTCATGCACCCTTNAGAGGCAATAGTGCCAGGAAGGCCTGGGGAGGAGGTGGGAGCGAAGAGGAGGGGGTCAGTGGGGGGGAAAGAGGGGGAACATCTGTAATACTTTCAATAACAAAGATAATAAAAATAAATAAATCCCTTGGAGATAACCCCTGAGGAAAAAAGAATGGAATTTGAAGATTCAGCAGCAGGTATAGAAAACAAAGGAAAGAGTAACTTCGTTTGCTTCTCGTATATCAGTGACTAATGAAATCATCTCCTCGAGTCTAGGCAGTTCTTGAGAGAAGAAGCTGACCCCTCTATTGCTCTTCTGTCGAGCTGAGTCCTTGTTGGAAGTAAACCAGCTGCTTAGAGTAGAGGGTGCGAGCCTTCCTAATGCAACATGAGCATTTCCCAGCGCTCACTATATACTGTTGAGCTCCGTGCCAGGGGTAACGAAGATTCCTGTGCACTAGGAGTTCACTATATGGTTAAGCAGATAAGAATTGAACCATAAAAACTGGTAGCACTTTATGACAATATCTGCAAACATATCCAACGTGAGCTTGAATAGAGTGTGTGGCCAAGCATAGGCGGTGTGCTGCGGATGCCCATGACAGGGGGCATTTTCAGCTGGGTGGAAATGAAGTCTTCTTCTCAGGGTGCTGGGGAAAATTAAACAATCCCCCAGGCCAGGAAAGAGGAGAGGCCGAGGGAAGCAGAGAAGCTTGCAATGCTCTACAAGCAGGTGGGTCCCCGTGATCTCCCAGTTCTCCTCTGGCTCTCATCTCTCTCCAGAGCTTTGTGGTCCTCGCAGGTACAAACAAGGTGCTAGAGCAGAATGACAGTGGCCAAAGGGGCCCCATGGGATGCAGCCTCCTGTGGTGAGAGGATCCCAGTGGTAGGGAGGGATGGAAAGATGGGGAGCTGAATGGAGGGGCAGGAAAGGCCAAGGGCATGTGTGTGACTGACTGTGCAGGGTCTGTGATCGGCTGAAAAGATACAGTAGCTGGAGTCCATCCCTCCCTACAAGGTTATGTTTTAAATGATATTAATAATTAATCTTATGTACAACTTTTTGTGTACTATTACACTCTGATAACGGGTCATGTCCCAGTTACTTATTAAACAGATCATGATGAGGAGTTAGCACAGTCCTCCCTGCCTTAGGTTTTATTTCAAATCTTAGGGAAGATAAAAATCTGCCATCTCCTGTGACACCCCTTCCAAACCCAAGTTCTACAAAGAAACCTGCTTCATTCATAATTATTTCCCCTCACCACCATGTCTTACCTCCTCCTTTCAACTCCCCTACACATGCTCAAGTATTTTCCCAACAATAACCGTTGTTTACTCTGTGACTCCTCCAGCTACTACTCTAGTTCTTAGCGTTGTATGATCGTGAAAGAGTAGCCCACCCAAGCTGGAGGGTAGATGTTCCTCACTTCCCATTCATTCACTCAGTCACTCCTCAATATGGTCAGTCCAATAATCATCATCTGAGGATGAGATCTGGCCTCCAAGGAGCTCACAACAGGACTGCGAGGGGATGTGTAGCTACAGCAAGTGTTAGTGGAAAGCCATCAGTGAAGACCTCAGTGACACAATGTGTGTTTCTCTTCCATCCTGCCTGTCCCTGGTATAGTCAGACATCTTTTCTGGAGCTATATTCATCAAGCTGGCCCTGGGATTGGACCTTTACCTGGCGATCTTCATCCTCTTGGCTATCACCTCTATCTACACTATCACTGGTGAGTGCACTGCATGGTTAGCTCAGCCATGCTGTCTTCTGCTCGTGTCACCCCCAACCTGCAATTAGCAACCTCAGTGTTAGCCTTGTCACCGCCAAGGCAAGGATATCCCTTTATTCCACTCTGAGAGTCATGTGCAGCCTAGAAACACAACTAGAGCTAAGGGAAATGAATCCTCAGTGTTAAGTGTGAACCCTTTGATTGAGGATAACAGTGTGGTGCGTGGAGCAGGGAAACACTCTAATTTGGCCTAACTGCGTGTTCAGTAGCAAATTGGCATTTGGCGTTCAATGTATCATACCCATGGGAGATCAGGATGAAATAGCAGCTCAAACATGAGACTGGCAAATCTAAGGCAGGGCCCAAATGAACACAGGATACCTGGGCACGGTGGTGTACTCTGAGGGGCAGAATCAGAAAAGGAGAACTGGAACAGTGGGTTGGTTGTGGGGAGAAGGTAAGAGGCAGCAGTCCAAGCAGGTTTTCATGAGCCAGATATGTTGGTGTAGCGTCTCATGCATACTAACTTATGAAAATTAAACTATCTCAGCTCGGTTGGGAAAAATTAAGAAAAAATAAAAGCTTGAACAATCAAGACTGTTCTGGAGCCATTTGCATGCATTGAGCATATGTTTCGGAATGAGTGAGAGATGAAGGTATGAATCTCCTGTGTTCAGGATCAATCTTGTTTCCCCACGACTCTCTCTCTCTTGTCAACTAAGAGCCTAGTGAGTCTAGAGTTGAAAGAGAAGTTGGTGGTGGTCGCGATGGTTGTGCAACATTGCAGCAAAACACAAGTCAACAATAATATCTGGTATTCAACTAATGAAGCAATGATATGTTCCAACACTAAAGCAAAAATGGCTTCACCCAATTTTTTGAGAGCAGATATACTGTTCTGAATTGAGGGATTGTTAGGGGAAACTGTCATGATATTAAAACATTGCCTTTTCCCCTACTTAATGTTTAAAAACTCACACTATAATTCATAGAAACTTTGAATCAAGGCAAGGCAAGGAAGACAGAAGGATCAATGAGACACATAACTTCCAAGGAGATAATGATGCCAAGAGGGGCCTGTGGCCCAACCAGGAGCTTCCCATATGCTCTCTGCTGAGTCATTTCCAGACTTTGGGTAGAAGAGAACTTAGAGGTGAAGACAAGTAGGTGAGGGCACCTGAGTAAAAATATCCTGGTTCTTTTTTTCTCTCTGCAGGGGGCTTGGCCTCAGTCATTTACACAGACACCCTCCAGACTATCATCATGCTGATAGGTTCTTTCATTCTCATGGGGTTTGGTAAGTGATGGCTGTGTGAGCAGAGCCCTGGGGGTTGGTTGTGGGGAGAAGGTATGGGGTGGAACAAGGGACTTGTGTCTGTTCAGTCTGTTTGTCTCGCAGTTCTATCTGGTCATGAACTTCTATGCTGTGCTTGCTCATAGTTTTTTGATTTCTGGTCTCCATGATGCAATGCCTAGCACCAGCCTCTCTAAATCTCACTTTTTTCATCCTTAGGGTGAGAAGGGGGGAGTCTCTCACACCCTTAGGGCCCCTCGTGTATTTTTGTTACAAACCATATTCCTTTTATCAGAACAATTCCCTTGTATTGCCTGTGTCCTCCATGAGGTCAAGCTCCTGCCTTGCACACTCATTTTGCACATAATCCCAGCACCATGTTTGGCACATACAAGCATATTGGTGCTTAATTAGATAAATAATGAAAAAGTAAACAAATGTCAACCTTAACTCTCCAGCTGTATGATACTCCAATGAATTTTGCATAATTTGAACCTATATTAAGTGGCCCCAGGTGCCTGGGCTTATCTTTCTAGGATGTCCATCCATTGTGGTTCTTTCCTATACCTTTCTAGCCTTTCCAGATCCCCAGTGGCTGAGTCTCACCATTTCCCCTCACCACACGTAATCTGCTGCCTCCCATTTCTGCTCCTTATCTTTCCTTTTTTTTTATTGTGACATAGGTAGAACACAGTATTACTCCAGGAAATCTGGCTGTGCATAAGTTCAGACTAGAGAGGCCATTGCTTCCTGGCCCTTTCAGAGGTGCTGGGACTTTCTGATGGTTGATTTTGTTAGGCTCGCTCTTTTGTTCACCTTCAGGTTTACTTCTGCTCTGATGGTTACGAGACATCAATATCAGACTGTTGAACTGCAGTTTTATTCTTACCATAAGGTTAGATACTAAATCACATTTTTCAAAGGCACCGTAACAAGAAAAATTAAAGGGTGATTTGCTTTATGAACTTTGTGGCAGTAAATCTGATATCATCATTGGATGTATTAGAAAGACATGGATCCCGAGAGGATACCAAGAATATGACCAGGCTAAGTGGAGGCGCTTGAGTACCTTCCACCACAGAGGAATAATTATGAAAACTGGCTGTCTTATACTTCTGTGCAACATTTTATTTTATCCAATGCCTTTTCAGCATTCGCCAAAGTTGGAGGTTATGAAAGTTTTACAGAAAAGTATATGAATGCCATCCCGTCCATAGTTGAAGGGGACAACCTGACAATTAGCCCCACATGCTACACTCCTCGGGAGGACTCTTTCCACATTTTTCGAGATGCTATCACTGGGGATATTCCTTGGCCAGGAATGATAATAGGAATGACCATCGTAGCTGTGTGGTACTGGTGCACAGATCAGGTAAAATGTGTGTGTGGTGTATGAATATGTTTATGTTATTCTTTTTCTTCTAGAAAATCATATAGTTTCACCATTTAAAAAGTCAAACACTTCTATAAGTCTTGTGTAAAAGAGCTGTCTGGTGTCCCTCTCTCTGCCCTATTTATTGTCCCTCAAAGGTAAACACTTTTGGCTCCTTCAGTTACGTTATTTTGGTATGTATTTCTACCCCCTAAATCCTGGTACTCAATGTATGGTCTGTGAACCATTGGCACGAATGACACCTTGGAGTTCATTAGATGTGTATTGAATTCTATGTACCAAGAGCCTCATAAACATTATACCAAATATTCAGGATACCCTACAAGAGAAAACCTTATTTAGAGATGAGAAACCTGAAACTCACAGAAGTCAAATACTCATGTAAGATGAGCAGGTATTCAAGTCTGGATTTTACTCCAAAGCTCATTATTTTCTGGCCGTCATCCCATTTCTTATTTTACCGCTACCCCTGAAGAGGCGTTCCCCTCCGCTGGTTGTTTCATGACGAGGTCGTGTTTTCCTGGCAGGTCATTGTGCAGCGCTGCCTGTCGGGCAAGAATATGTCTCACGTGAAGGCCGCCTGCATCATGTGTGGGTACCTGAAGCTGCTTCCCATGTTCATCATGGTGATGCCAGGAATGATCAGCCGCATCCTGTACACAGGCAAGTCCTGGAATCCACAAATTCTTATTTTTTATGCTTGAATTACAAATAGTGGTTTTAAGATGTATTGAGACCTTCATAACTAGAAAAACACATTATGTATGGAAGTAAAAACAAAACTCCAACTAGAGATAACAGATAGTGCAGAGGGTCAGAGCACAAAATTTTTCTATAATTGACACTCTGTTCTCTTATCTCTTTCATACTGCGTGCCTATCTCCTTGTAGGCACTTGAGTCTGTTTTGTCCTGTTTTCATGAGTGGCCGAGGCTTAAGTGAATCTAGAGGATAATGCAGGAGAATGAGGCAAAACTGGGAAAATATGAGTGAGGTGAGCCGTGGTGCTTCGGTCCAGGGCATCAGCAACTGGCAAGGTCTTGGAGATGCATTGTCACTTCTTGGTCCCTCTGAGATGATTGGAGAACTGTCCCCCCTTCACTGCTTTGGGATTGGGTTGCTTGGTGTTCTTTCATTTCTGAGTCAGCTGAAAGTAACTACTAATGTTGAAAACCTTCCTTAAAAATCTTTATCATGAAGAGTGAAGGAAATACAGCAGAATGTTTCTTGCCTAATCGAGACCTCTGGTTTTCATTGGGCAATCCATCAGATAGCACCAAATTCACTTCCTGTTTTCTCAACTGAGCATCAGTTTATTTAGCTGAAAGCTTGTTAAGACGAACCTCAAGTGGCCAACATCCCTTCTTATTGCAACAGCGTAGTATTGTCTATAACGATAAAAATGTATAGATATCCCACAAGTAGGGAGTGGCCAAAGAGATTATTGAATGCTATCTCAATACTTGGGGAAATCCTAATATCATTACGTTAGATATAAAAAGTAGACTATAAGTATTATCTCAACAATTACCATAGTTATGCAATAAAGACATTTCTCTCTGGAAAAGGGTTAGAAAGAGATTTAAAAAAAACTAAAAGAAGCTAATGTGCTAAGGTGTTAGTATTCTGGGTGATTTTTTGTATCAATTTTTGTTATCTGTTTTCATAATGCTGTTTTAGGAAAAATATCACCAAGGTATTGTGCAATTGCCACAATGAATGAGGCATCATCCACATGGGGCCATCATCCCAGTAACATCACAAGTGACACCTCTTCTCAGATGTGGGAGAAAGACACTGGGCTAAATGATTACACACAGGACTAACTTCCTGAGTGCTGTTGTTGTTGTCTTTGTTGTTGTTTTATCTCTGGGGTTCTGTGCTCCTGGGAGGAGTTATGCTCTTGCACCTTTTCTGGGGGATGGAATCAGCCCCCCCATTTTGCTCTAATGCTTTAGCTGGGCCACATCCCAAGGCAGAGCCCTGCTCCATAGGTCAGTGCAAGGGGTAGCTATAGCTGTGAGATGCCTAGAAAGTTGTATTCTGGGCAAAGAGGAACCAGATCGATTGTATGAAGTTCAAAGTTGAACCTCCAATTTCCAAGCCAACGTCTTTCCTCTAACCCATGATTTTACAACTTGTCTCTGTGTCCAATGGTTATGGATCTCACGCGTTTGGGTCCCACTCACTGAACCCATGTATCTGAATCTCTCTTCAGATAAGGTGGCCTGTGTTGTACCTTCTGAATGTGTGAAACACTGTGGCACTGAAGTTGGCTGCAGTAACTATGCCTACCCAATGCTGGTGATGGAACTAATGCCTGATGGTAAGAAAATGTCCTGCTCAGATAAATGGATAAAGATAGTGTGATGATGATAGATGATAGATAGATAGATAGATAGATAGATAGATAGATAGATAGATAGATAGATCTTTCTTCACCCTAAAAAATAAGGAAATCCTGCCATTGCGACAACATAGATGAACCTGAAGTGACATCACCCATCCACCTTTTCCACACTCTGTCCTAGGATGTCTAGTGACTTACTCGTAGGCAGAGGAAACTGGAAGTTGCCATAATATCTCAAAACTCTTTGCTTGTCCCACCAAAGTCTTCTTCAACAGAACCACCTAGTAGGCTTTTTCCTCTTCAGTTCCCTGAGTTTCCAGGAAGCCAACAGTTCCTAAAAAAAAAAAAAAAAAAAGGTACAACTCTGTTTCCTGTCTTTCAAATTTAGGTTCCAGCAAATGATCTCTAAACTTATATTTAGAACCAAAATTCTATACTGGATTATTATCAGATCACCAGGAAACATAGAGAAAATGCTACATGGTGGCCTGCATTGGTAGGCACATCAGTTAGTGTGTGTTCCAGGTGGCACTTTTATCTTTGAACGACTCTCTGGTTTGGAAAGGAAACCATAGATGATGGCATCCAAGTTCCTAACCAGTGGTTGCACCCTCCTCTTGCCCAGGACTGCGAGGCCTGATGCTGTCAGTCATGCTGGCCTCTCTCATGAGCTCCCTGACCTCCATCTTCAACAGCACCAGCACCCTCTTCACCATGGACATCTACACCAAGATCCGCAAGCAGGCATCGGAGAGAGAGCTCCTTATAGCTGGGCGGTGAGACAATCCTGCTTTCTGTCCAAAATTTCTCTGGAAGGGTAGAGACATAGGAGTAAAATAGAGCCTCTTCATCTTTGGGTTGAGAGAAACTAATCATAGAGTTCTAGAGTGGAAAAAGGAACATTAGAGGACATTTAATCCAACTTAATCTCTTTCCAGATACAAAATTTGGGGCTATACTTTCAAATGAAATAGTTGCTTTTTCAGACTTTGGAATGCCTCTGGTTGTCTCATACATCCTCTTCCAGCCACATTTTCATGAAATTCCATCAGTGCTTTTCTTGGGGTATAAAGTTTCCACCTACTCTCATAGGTTAACGCATCATCTCTAGAAGTTTCCATTTGTATCACATGAAGGAAGTAACAGATTAGGGATATCTTCACACTACTACAAAGGAGTTTACCAACTGCATTCACTAAAAATGGGGTGTCAAGCCCGGCCGGGAGTGGGTCAGCCGTTCAGTGTCTACCTAGGATCCAGAAGATCACGGTTCGATTCCCAGTGAGGGCACATGCCCGGGCTGTGGGCTCAATCCCCAGTCGGGGGTGTGGAGGAGGCAGCCGATCAATGACTCTCTCATCACTGATGTTTCTCTCTCTCTCTCTCCTTCTCCTTTCCTCTCTCTGAAATCAATAAAGATATATATTTTTTTAAATAGGGTGTCAAGAGAAACTAACCACCTATTTAAAAGATCATGCATTGCTGAAGATAGTAACAATTGCTTTGGTAAATTAAGCACTTGGAGAAATTCCAAGGGCTCAATTGGTCCAGATCTTGACTCTGGATAAATGCTACAGGAGAGGGAACCAGTAGGCATCTGTGATTCTGTGGCTGAGCAAGTGTTGGCCTAGAATTCAGTAGGACCAAGATGCAGTAGTCCCGCGATAGGTACACGATCTTGGGGATGGATCCCTTCTAAGTCTCAGTAATCAGTTAAGAGTTTCTCTTTTCCTCTCTTCATTATTAAATGCCTACTATCTCCCAAAATAGAAACATGAAAAAATGACATATATATGAAAAGTGATTTCATGCTTCATGGGAATTGTGCCTTTGTGAAGAAGATAGACAATAAATATAGTCTCTATCTGGTGACAAAAAATGCTAGGAAGGAAATTAAAGCAGGATTAAAGGGCGAAGGCTACTTACGACAGGCTCTCGGGAGCCCTCACTGAAGAGGGTGTTTGAGCAGAGCCCTGAGGACAGTGTGGAGGGAGCCCCATGGCTCACCCCGGAGGAGCAGTAAGCGCCACATTCCCCCAGTCACGTGTGTGGTGTGTGTGAGGACAGGAGGTGAGGTTGGCCCATGAGGAGCAAGTGGGACAGTGATAGGAAACAAGGCCATAAAGGTAGTGGGAGGATAGGCCATGCAGGGCCATTTCAGCCGTAACAGGACTTTGGATTTTATTCTACAAGTGACAGCAAACAACTGAAGATAAGAGAGCAAAGGAGACACATAATTTGCTCTCCGATGATGATGACAATAGTGCTAGTAGGTGTTATTTCTTGAATCTTTACTGTGTTCTAGGCACTGTGCTGGGACTTCCCATGGTTTATCACATTTAGTTATTGCAAGGTTGCAGAAGTTGTAGAGCTTAAACGAGACACTGTGCCTCAGTCTCCTGCCCAAATGCTTGTCCCTCGGTTCTCCCAACTTCCACCTTTCTGTTCCAGGTGAGCCCAGACAAGTGATGACGTTTTACAGAGAGTCCAGTAAATTATTATTATTATTTTATTCACCAACAAGCACAGAAGAATATTATGAAGTTTTAGAAAGTGAATCAGTCTTGCTCTCTGGACCCCAGGAGCCTCTAATAGATTTTTACTGCATATGAATATTTAACCAATTTTTTCTACCTGCCAAAGCACTCAAGTAGCAAAATGCATGAATTAACATTTCTAGCCAATTCACTCAGGACATTTTTATTCTAAAGTGTGCAAACTGACTCAGTTTCTCTTGAGCTAGGAAGAAAGACCAAAATAAGAGTCTTCTTTCTTTATCATACAAATAATTACTTAGAAAAGGTGTTGTATTTTTTCTAACTGACATAGTACGTAAACTGCATTAGAGAATTATTAACCAAATGCTGACATCTGAACTGTTGTTATAAATGGATACTTCATCTCATAGTTGAAGCTATTATGACTAATTATAGGCAAGCAATTGCTTGAATGGCATTTTACTGACAGATAACCATAAGCATGGTATGGCATGAGGTCAAGGAGCTTGATTTTTTCTTTGGAAAAATCAATGAATGGCCACAAGAATGAATTCAAGAACTAAAGCGCAATGGAAGTATTAATAATGGTTTTGTTTAATATTTAAATCATTTTGTTTTCTCCCAGGCTATTTATCATTTTCCTAATTGTCATCAGCATTTTTTGGGTCCCATTAGTGCAAGTGTCTCAAAACGGACAACTGTTTCATTACATAGAATCAATTTCTAGCTACCTTGGACCTCCGATTGCTGCTGTCTTCCTGCTTGCCATCTTCTGTAAAAGAGTCAATGAACAGGTAAGTGGAAATCGAGAAATTTGGAGAAAAATGTCTTTCTTTCACTGGTAGAGATATGCATTCTTTTCACCCAGTTTGTACAACTCAAGGCCCACCTCAGTTTCGACTGTGGTCAGCCACACGTCCTGGTTTTCACCAAAGTGTGTAACTATGTGGCGCACACTCGTGGTGCAGCCTTTATATTTCTTGCAGAACACAAACGTCCATGGCACAGTGCCAAGGAGCACAGGTAAGGGGTAAAGGGTACGACTGCCAGGATCCGACCCTGGCGCTACCCCCTGGCGTCATTGTGATCTTAAGCAAACCATGTGACTCTCCGTAAGATGCAGATAATCCCAGTGCCTATCTTATCGAATTGCTGTGAGGATTTAAAAAAGAGTTTTTAAAAATATGAAGTGCTTAGAAGAAAACCTACCTCACCAGTAATGGTCAAATATGTTCATTTCTTTTATGGTATATAATTGATGATTATGGGCCATGGGCTTTTAATTCCTTAATTGTTCCCAGGTATGAGCCTTATTGTTATAATTTTCAGATGAGGAACAGGCTCAGGAAGTTATCTAGGCACTTTCCACGCGTTACTCAGTATTAGCAAGTGGGATCTTGGGATTCAGACTCATGTCTTCCTCCATCCAAAGCTCATACTCTCAATGTCTGTGTAAGACTGTTTCCACTAAATGTAACATCCTAATAGGGAACAGGGGACATATCTTCCACCCGCAGCACTTCTCAGAGAAGATAAGTGATTTTAATTGACAAAACCTTAATCGAAGTAGCATAACTATCTAACATCAACCCTGCAGATTGTGTAACATAAGTCATAGTTCTGTTTATTCTCCAAAATAAGTCACAAGTTTTTTAATCTGTATATGAAATCACACACTACGACTCCAAATCTATGGGACACAATGAAAGCCGTCCTGGGAGGGCAGTTCATAGCACTACAAGCCTACCTCAAAAACAAGAAAAACTTCTAACAGGCTCTGTAACCCCACAACTTAAAAACTGAGAAAACAAGAAAAGCCCAAAGTAGAAGGAAGGAAATAATAAAGATCAGAGCAGAAATAAATGACATATAGAGAACTAAAAAAAAAATATAAAAGATCAATGAAACCAAGAGCTGGTACTTTGAAAAGATAAACAAGATTGATGAACCTTTAGCCAGACTAATCTATATATGANTAGAGAACTAAAAAAAATATATAAAAGATCAATGAAACCAAGAGCTGGTACTTTGAAAAGATAAACAAGATTGATGAACCTTTAGCCAGACTAATCTATATATGAAATCAAAGTCAGGGTAAATAAACTTAAGCTTGGGTCAGAATAGACAGTACAGTTTTCCCCCGGTATTCAAAAGTAGAGCATCTCCATGAAGCCTTACCTAAGCCGAAACGGCAGCATTTACCATGCATTTATATGGAAATTATTTTGAGCATTTCCAGACCCCCAAAAATAACCTCTCTTAGGCTTTTCTGATGCGTTAGGACACATCTTGCTAACGGACGCACAAAACAAATCAAGACGAAGCGCAGATGCTCGCGGACACAGTTCAAAGCTAGAGGGGCCCGGCGCTGAGCGCGGCTGAGAAGTCGATGCGGTTCCAGCGCAGGAGCTTGGCCGGGTCGCGCTCGCTGTCCCGTGCACGCCGCCCCTGTAAGGGCGAACTGAAAGACAAACACCGAAAGCTATTTTCACTTTTTTTCGTAAAAGTAAAAAATCCTCTTCGAATTTCCTTCGGTTAGCGAAAACAGGCACTGACGCGGGCCTTTTGTAAAAGCGAGTAGCACATAAGGCAAACTTCTGCAAAACGGGTGGACCTGTGGTGTCCTGGAGTTGGAGAGTTAACAGCGCCATGGTGTCCCAAGGCCACGGAGAGCGACAGCCACTAGCCAACACACCCACTGGCGTCTTTGCCCTGCTTTGGTGACCTTAGCCATGGTTCAACCTTAGCCATTTGCCGGTGAACCATTGGTTAGCCTTAGTGGAGAAAGCAGGTAGGGTGATAATTACAACCTAGTAGAGTGAGTTTCTCAGCTTTTCCGAATCCGCTGACTTTGTTCTTGCTTCTTTTGCAGGGAGCCTTTTGGGGTCTAATCACTGGACTTCTGATCGGCCTATTTCGGATGACTGCAGAGTTTGCCTACGGAACAGGGAGCTGCTTGGCCGCCAGTGACTGTCCCAAAATCATCTGCGGAGTGCACTATCTGTACTTTGCCATGATCCTCTTTGTAGTTTCCATACTGGTCATCCTGGGAGTTTCCCTGTTAACAAAACCCATTCCTGATATACATGTGAGTAATGGGTAGCAGAGGGGAGAGTTCTTTGCCTTCTAGAGTTTCGACTGGTTTACAAGTCCCAGCATCATAGCACCGTCAGAGCTGGGAGGAACCTAAGAGATTATCATGCGGTGGCTCAACTGAGCAATAATTTGCAAAATACTAAATATGTAAAGCACCAGTTTGGATGTGGTCTGGGAAACAGATGTGTAAGGGTATAAATCCTTATCAGAACTCAATAGTAGTACCTAGATACTATCTAAACATGATGGATCCAGAAATAGAACTTAAGGAGGAATTTAAAAGTTATAAAAGTAACACTAGACCAACTGAAAGTGGTGAGGCTGTAGCTAACAACAGTTGAATGAAGCCAAGGTGTAGCGTATAAAGTTAGATAAATCTTTGACTTTTGTGAAATTATAAATCCAGAAGTAAGAGTTTTAAACATATTATTTAAGAGATTTTAGCATGTATAAGTACCAGAAGGATTAAAGACAGAAAAAAAAAATTGAAAACAGAGTGTTTTTTGAATGAGTGCAGTAGAAGGCCTTTCCTTTGTCACCTATATTTTCCTGCGCTGTTGGGGTTTTTTTGCACTATACATAACTGTAGTGTTGCATCATTGTAAACATTTTCTCGTCACTAATGCACTTATCTGTGGCCTCTGGACAGCTGTATCGCCTGTGCTGGGCTCTTCGGAACAGGACAGAGGAACGAATCGATTTAGATGCAGAAGAGCAAAGACAGGAAGAGGCTGCTGTTGATGTTGATGAACGTAAATATCCGGCTCACGTTTGCTTTGAGAAGTATACTTTTTCTTTGAACCGTTTGTTCATCTCTCTAGTATGTTCACATGGAGTTATTTGTAGGATTTTCTCTATTTCAAGAAACTCATTAATACTAAAGATATTAAATCCTGCGTGATATATGACGCAAATGCTTTTCCCCAGCCTGTCACTTGTTTTACTTTGCCTGCTGGACTCTATGCTCTGCAAAAGTTTTCTGTTTTTCCATAACCAGAGCTCTCTGCGTTTTCTCAGGGGCAGTCCTCGTGGTAACTGTTCTTCGCAGGCATCCGTGCGACCTTGACAGGGGTTTCCTCTCCCGCGTTTTGTGACCATTCGTTCCTCTTTCTTTGATTCAGATTATCCTGAGGAACCTCGTGGGTGTTTCCGGAAAGCTTACGAGGCCTTCTGCGGTTTGCAGAAGGAAGGCCCCAGGCTGAGCAAAGAGGAGGAAGAAGCCCTAAGGAAGAAGCTCACTGACACGTCGGAGAAGCCCTTTTGGAGGACGGTCGTGAACATCAACGCCCTCCTCCTCTTGGCCGTGGCCGTCTTTGCCCACGGCTATTTTGCCTGAACTCGGCCTGAGCCACGAGCCTATTTATTAAGCAGAGGAAAATATTGGGTTTTCATCTTTAGAGTTTGTTGTGTTGCAAAAGGGAGAGAAGTAGCTGGTAATTTTATCCAATGAGATAACTACAGACCTGTCTTTTAGCTTTTGTGTGTCACTGAATAAAGAGAAAGAGTGGATAATTTAGAAAGGCAGTGAGCTGAATCCACCCACGTGTGTGTGAGCGAGGAGAATCTGGGTCTAAATTCTTTCTTTTTTTTTATAGCTCACCAGCTAAGTTGCCCTGTGTTAAGCTTGCTTGCTGCTGTGTCCAGAGATTTCCACTTAGAAGGAATACCTCTCCCAACTCTGCCTTGCCTGGTAACCCCCCCATCTAAAAAATAGTGACATTTTCCTCCCATCTTCACATCACTCATCTCAAGGGTTTGAAAAACAGAAATATCTTCTAATAGTTAAGAGGGAGTGAGCTGGAAATGCCTGTTGTGAATATTTTTACGAACTTATTAGAAATTATTAGTCTCTGCCTTCAAGTCATCCCCCACTAAAAGTTAGCATATCAAACCATTGATTTTTCTTAAACCACTTTGTTAAAACATAATTCATATATCATAAAATATCTAAAGTGTACAGTTAAAACAGACTCATAGATACATAGAACAGACTGACAGCAGCCAGAGGGAAGGGGGTTGGGGGGGCTGGGTGAGAAAAAGTGAACAGGTTAAGCAAAAACAACACATATACATACATACATACATATATATA